GGCACTTTGGCTCTTGGGCCATTTCTCGCAGTGTAACTGACATACAATTAGCAACGGGTGCGGGGGGGCTGGGTGTGCGCCTAATTGAAATGACGCCAGCTGCAATTATTTACCATTCTAATTCGAGTCCCACTGCAGCCAGGAGATCCCAAAGGGTGTTTGGGTTGCATCTGGCTGGGCCTGGGCCTGGGCCTAGGTTTCCATTTCAATCGCATCCACTGGGGAGGATCCTTCTCCTCCTCCTCCTTCTACTATTCAATTAAATTTTCGGCTGCCGCTACCGCTGCTGAATTGAAATCCAATTGGAAACAACGTCGAGTACAAAACGACATCATCAGCAACATCGACAAACAGCAACATTCAACGGAGCAGTTGAGTCCGCAATTTGCTCTAATAGCCTGCTGGGCAGGCCTCGCGACCTGAACCTCTCCACTCTCCACTCCGTACTCTCCACTCCACCCCCCACCATCCATTTGCAGCTGCTGTCAAATTGGCAACAATTTCGACTCGCCACCCCCCTGCAATTTTCGCGTTTAATTAGCTGCAACTGCAACGCTTCTGAACGGGATTCGATGGGGTTTGATCCTGGCCCGCATGCAACCGCCTGGCCATTTTCCCGAATTGCGTGAATGCAATTTGTGCAGCCAGCCAGCCAGCCAGTCTACCATCAACACCTTTTTTATATGTTTCCGCCATGCGAAGTTGCTTCGCCGTCCCCCTCTCCCACACAGTGTCCAATCATCGCATAAATTGCCATTGACAGTTGAGTTTTGCTCTCACTCTCGCTCTTTACTTATTCTGCCGCCCACTCACACGCACACTCTCACCCGCTCTCGCATTCTCGTGTTCCATTTCCACTCACTCTGCCGCATCGTCGCTCTTGCACTCACAGATTCTGCCGCCCAGTCGCTTTAGCACTATCTCATTCCGCTGCCCGCACTCTGCCACTCTCCTCTCACTTTCTGCTGCCCACTCACTCTCGATCTGTTATTCTGCCGCCGTCGCTCAAGCGCTCTCTCTCTCTGTCTGCCTGCAGGTGTAACTGTCGTTTGTCTCTCTGGCTTTTGTCGCGGATCGTGGATTACTCAACTGAAGCTCCGATGAAGCGCAGTTCAATGAAGTTGAACCAAAAGGTGAAATATTGATGAAAGAGGAGAACACTGCAAGTGTGCTTCTTTTTTGTTGCTTTTAATTCCGCATAAAGTTAACCACTGGCGGGTGGTGGATGGAGTAAAGGCCCCCTAAGAAGAGCACCAACTGGAACAGCTCAATATCCTGCCCAAAACTGTTCGTAGATAATCCCACTTCCTGTGTGCACTTTTTGTACGTGGCATATCCCCCCCCCCCCCCCACCATGGATGCTACGATGTGATATTATATTCCCTGGTCACGTAGACGCTTCCAAATTCAAGTTTGTTTGCTGCTTTTGTGCATTTCAAATTGAATCCTCATCACTGTCCGCTCTCCACTCTCCACTGTCCACTCTCCACTGTCCATATGGATAGAGGGACATGCTGGATAGTTGTATGTAAAGTGGGCGTGGCAGTGCAGCATTCGGCCTCAAGGCGGGCTGCTATAATCGCTGCAAGTGCGCTCCTCCAGCTTCATTTGTTGCGCCTCGATGCAATGCTCCCCCAGAGTCAACTTCAGTATCGAAAAAGTGCCAAAGTCACACTTGGTCCGAGGAGTCCATTTCTCCACAAACAACAACAGACAAACACAGAGAGAGAGAGAGAGAGAGAGAGAGAGAGAGTCAGCCCCCATTGCATGTGCTGGCCGAACTCTGGCAAAGAGGAATTATTTTTGCAAGGAAAAAGTGCAGCTTGGCCAACATTCTGGCGTGGCGTGGCATGTGGCCCACTGACAATGACAGCTGTTCGCTGTGTGAATCGGAAAAGATATATAGAGGGAGCAGCACATTCGCCTTGGCTATGACATTTCACTTGCTGCACAAGTCCCCGCCCCCCCTATTTTCACTAAATTGACTTTGCCTTCTATCGTTTAGGGTGCCTGCCCGCCCCAACCATTGCCAGAGTCTCTCTCGTCTCTCGTCTCGTTTCTGAGTGCAGCAATTTTGTATGCTCCGCTGCGCAGCAGCAGCAGCAGAGAAAACACCTCTACGTTCGCCCTCGAAGATCCATTTCGGTGGCAGACGGCAGCCACTTTCGACTGCAAGACGAAGACAGAGAAGAGAGGGAGAGAGAGTGGAAGAGAGAGGAGTGCGAAAGAGAGTGGCAAAGAGCGGGATTGGGTGTGATTGCAATCTATAAATATCTAAAAACCCATAAAACTCGGCTGGAACAGTGGGAGAGGGAGAGAGAGATGGGGAACTAAGGCTAAGGCCAGCAGCCAGCAAATGGCATCATTGGAACAGGTGAAAGGAGCGTGGAGCAGGGACAGTGGCAGTGGCAGTGGCAGTGCGAGCAAAGAGCACACTTTGTGCCTATCCAAAAAGTGACATGCGGTTGACTTTCAATTGAAAAAAAAGAAAGTGCTGCACAGAGCGCAAAGAAAATAAATAAAAATAAAAATACAAAATACTTAGAGATTTTTGGATGCTGTAAAATTCTTAAAAGAAACTCCTCTAAATGTTTGCTTTGTGCCACAAAGAGAACTTCCTCCAAAATAATTATTTCGAGTGTAGGATCTAGAAAATGGATTTTTGGATTTGGAAAATTGGGAACTGGCAACCAGGGATCTGCTCTGCGACAATATTTGAGGATGATTGCAGGCTCTCGTCGCCCGTCGCTCGTCGCTCTCGGCTTTCATGTACGTGAACAGCAAATTTATGTGCACAACTGCGATTGATGTCAGCCACCCAACCAGCAAGCAGCAAGCAGCACACAGCACACGGCAGACGGGAAGCCGAGAGCAACCTTTGGTTGGGCTTTGGGCTTGGGTTTGAATTTTCCATTGCCAAAATGTGGCTCTGTCAAAGTTTGGCATTGCCAAATGCTCGCTTCACTTCACTTCACTTCACTGCACGTCACTCTCCGACCTCCTGCCACGACTCCTGTCTCCTGTTCAGCTCTGGTTGGTGCACCCATAAAAGTCTGTTGCATAAACCAATATCGCATTTGCTCTACGCAGCCACCAAGTGCAGTGTGCGGTGTGCGGTGTGCCGTGCGGGGTGGGGTCTAGATTCTGTCAACGCAAAATTCTTCGATCCGTTGGGTGGGGGGGGTTCAATCGTTTGCTGATAACGTAAACCGCTTTGATTTTTATTTAACTGCACATTCCTCCTGCTCCCCACTCGCCGCACCAGCCATTGACATTTAATGGCAACTTGTGGAGGATTTTCGATTCCTTTTTGTGTCGCTGGCGAATTTCTGTTGCAATTTTCTGCGGTTTTTTCCAATTTTACCCAATTTCACAATTTCACCATTTTTGCAGCAACATTTTCCATTTGCCTTCACTTATTGCATTTATTTATTTGGTGCGATGCTCCGCGCCCCCCCACCATTCCTCTCTGTTCCGCGTTCTCTGTTCCGCGCTCTTTGTCCCACGCTCCGCTCTCCCACGCTCCCACGCTCCCACGCTCCCACTCTCCACCTTTCTTCCGTTATTTGTTGCTGCCTTTTCGGTTCTTGTGCTCTTCTGCCTTCTGCCTTTTGCCTTTTGCCGTTGAACGAGTGAAATTGATAATTTATAAAATGGCAAACAAGAAAAGAAAAACCATTTGGCTTTTCCAGCAGCAGCAGCGGCAGGATCCCACTCTCCCGCTGAGCTGTGTGCAACACATTTTGCCGCGTTTGCCTCATGAAATATTTGGCAAGTTTCGGCCGTTACCTTCACTTGATAGAAAGCATCCTGCGGCATCCCTGTCTGGGGGCCCTGCCGTCGGCCACTTTATGGCTGGGGTCGCAGTGTTACCCCCCACCCGCTACTGCTCTCCGGCAACCATTAAATTATGCAAAATACACAAACACACAACGCACACACTCACACGCACACACTCATTCGAAACTAGGGAATTTCGCTGCTTCGCTTTTCGCTCTTTTTTGTCTTTGCTTTCGAGAGAGAGCGAGAGCGAGAGAGAGAGAGCCGAAACTCTTGTGGCAATAAATGTTGAAAAACATTTGGAAATATTTTCTGTCTAATATTTGTACCATATAATTTACTCAACTATTTTTCAGTGTATACAAAACTCAGTGAGTTTTTCTGTCTTTGCACTTGGCTGTTGCTTTTACTTAGCCAACTGAAGCGTGGCAGTGCCCCCCGGCTCCGCCCACAGCTGCACCCTTCTGCTACACGTACTTATGTGGCGCTTCGCTGCTTTTATTTTATTGAAATTTATGATTTCTGGCACAGAATTGATGTTGTTCTGCATTCGGGAGTGTGCGGGAGCATAAAGCAAACCTCAGCAGCAGCCCCCAGTCCCTGCCCTGAAGTGTCCCTCAGCGCGAGCTTCATGTTTGGCCTGGTGGCTGGTCTGTGTCGCTGCATCTGTGTCCCTCTCGTCACTTATTTAGTTCGCATAAATATTGAAAAATTGCATTTTTTATGATATTTGCCCACTCCCCACAAGCAGCAGCAGCAAAGGAAAACATCATTAAACGCCTTCTTAAGCAGCCAACAAATAGGAAGCCCCTCCGCCGGCGCCTGTCCGTGTGATTGGGGACGAGTCGGAGCATATTTATATTTGGCAGAGTGAGTTGCCTGCTGCCACACATTCATCCTTGCACATCCTGCCACACACACACACACTCGGCTCAAATAATCCCCAAAAGATGAAAATTGTGCAAAATTTGTGTGTTGCTTTCACTGATTAAGGATGGCTGGCTGGCTGGCCTCCTCCGTTCTCCTGCTACCTCCAACCGGGGAAATCTCTTGAAAACCCAAAGAGATGAATGAGGAGACCAGAACATCTAATATGTGCGAAATTTATCAGCCCCAATGCACACACACACAAGCAGACGGACAGACGGACAGCCGGACGGACACCCATCTGGGTGCAGGCTCCAATTAGGCCGCAGACCAACCCAAGAACAAAGTTGCAGTTGCAGTTGCAGAATTCTCAACTGAGTATCTGGCCTTAGGTATATTTTTCGTTATGCTTGTGGCTTAGGTTAGAGTAACAGTTTTTGGGATTAAGTTTTACATTGCGTGCGGCAACGAGTGCGCTACTCGCTGCTGCTACTCGCTGCTCTGTGGTTTCGTTGCGTTGTCCTTTTGTGCATTTGCGTGGTGACTGGTGGCTCGTTGGTGGATTTAGCAGCCGATCGCTTGCAGGTAGCCCTGAATCTGTTCGCCCAGTGCGCTGCAACACGTCGAATGTTCATTCATTAGTTGAGCTACAAAATGGACAAAAGACATGCAAAAACTTACCCCAGACTGCCACCAGAGAGTCCTTTGCCATTGGCGGTTGACTTTTGGTAGAGCGCCGCGAGGAGCAGGAACTGACCGGTGATTAGCAGCTCACGTTTGCCGTGGCTCAGCCAGCCCTTGACTGTCTTTTGTGGGCCGACCAGCAGCTGCTCGCCACGGAAGGACTCAGCCTCACGTCGGACGGAGGGTTCTCGCTCCTGACGCACTTCTTCGCGACTGTCCCTGCGACTGTCCAAGCGTCGAACTTCGGAACGGTCACGAGCTGCCTCGCGCTCCACACGCTCCACACGCTCCACACGCTCCTCCCGCAAATTGTCTCGCTCGATGCCAGCCTCACGCTCCTCACGTCTTGAATTCTGTCGGACATCGCGCTCGATCTGTCGCTGCTCTTGCCTTTCCACCTGTCGCCTGCTCTCCCTGTCAACGGTTTCCCTCCTGCGATCAACTTCACGCCTTTCGTCTCTCGCCACTCGACGCTCTCCGTCGCGTTCCGCTCGCCGCTCGTTCTCCCTGCGAAGGCTCGTCTCGCGGCTGTCACGTCTGGTTACCTCTCGCCGTTCGCTTTGCACCTGGACTCGTCGCGTTTCGTCTCGTGCTGCTCGTCGCATGTCCGCTCGCTCATCCTGGCGCGTGACTTCGTCTCTGTTGCGCTCCTCGCGCTCGCCGCGCCTGGACAGGTCACGTTCCAGTCCCCTCGAAAGCTCTTGCCTCTCACGTCGCTCCACCACGCGCTCCCCAACCCGATTCTCACGTCGCTCCTCACGCCGTTCCGCTGCTCGCACCTCACGGCGTTCCTCTTGTCGTGCCTCTGCTCGATCCTCCCGACGGTCCTCTGCTCGTTCCTCCCGACGCTCCTCACGCCGTTCCACTACACGCTCCTCTCGTCGCTCCTCTCGTCGCTCCCCTGCACGCACCTCACGACGTTCTGCTTCCCGTTCCTCCCGTCGTTCCGCTTCACGTTCTTCACGTCGCTCCTCACGATTGTCTCGTTCCGCAAGACGCTGGGATTCTCGACGTTCCTCTCGCTGTTCCGCTGCTGACATAAAGCTGCCTGAGTTTAGTCGTTCAACTCTTCGCAGTTCTGTCCGTCGGACTGTGTCTCGGGTAGCTCTGGCCTCGCGACGATTGTCACGCTCTTCTCGTTCTACTCGATGCTCGCGCCTCTCGTTCGTGGCATCCAATCGGCGTTCAACGCGTCTCACAGCTGCTCGCTCCTCGCGAGCTTCACGCTGCTGGCCTGCGACGAGTGCTCGAGCCTCCACTCGCTGCGATTCCCGACTGAGCGAGCGCTCCTCCAGCCGAACTTTTGTCTCCTCGCGACGATCGTCTCGGGCCACCCGCCGCTCCGGCTCTTGTCTGTACACCAGCCGCTCGTCGTACTGCTCCAGGCTGCGGTCATCCCAGCGACGACTGCTGTTGGCCAGGGCCAGGTCCAGGCAGCCCAACTGCAGGAGCAGGAGCAGGAGCAGGGCGCTCGGCCTCAATCTTCTGGCGTGCACGACCATCGCAAGTGGATGAGAGTTTCCGTTCAGGTACTGAGTTGGCTCCTTGTGGCTGTTTCTGTGGCTGTGGCTCGTTGTACCACCAGCAGGCTTGAGAACTTGACTGAGTAACCCAGCGGCGGCAAGTCGTTTTTATAGCACGAGGCGAGCCTGGGCCCACGGCCCACGGCCCCAGGCACTTCCTGCTCGATGAGCTTCAATTTGCTGCTGCTCATTGATTGATTGAATTTCGCTTATCGCACATGTGCACCACTGCACGACGAAGGGAAGTCGCCACTTTGGCACTTTGGCACTCTGTGCGCAAACTCCACAGCGTGGATTCATGAATGAATCCTTCGGCTGACGTCACTCCGTGTCCCAGGCATGACGTCAGCCCCGACTGCACATTGCCGATAACTTCAATTCAATCAAAATCAAATTAGAACGCAATGAGCAGGACATTGGCTCAGCAGATGTGCATCTGGCCGTTAAATTGTGCACAGCTTGGAGCAACTGGGAGCGAGCCGCCGCGCTGGCTATAAAAGCAACGAAGCAACTCCACACGCGCGGCAGTTGGAGCCTGGCGACTACGATGTTGCATCCTTAGATGTATTCCTGGCCAAGACTGTCATGGTTAATGGGTTGCTGTGAACATAATCGGACAGCCTTCATCCCTGTGTCCTGGACGTCTCCGCGCTCTGGCAGCTGCTGCTGCTTGCCCACAGAAAAAGTCAAACAAAATTGTAATCTTTTCTGTTCTCGTTATTTATTTTTCTTACATCATTTCATCATTTCTCCTGCAACTTTTGGAAAGTTCTCTGCGCCCAGACACAATAATGGGATTGTGTATGCAGCCAGAACGACAAAAAAATACATCTTTGGCTTAGAAATCAAATATATAATATTCAAATTCAAATTCCAAGATCGCTGTTTATGTACAAAGCATTTTGGGCTCACTTTCGCCTTTGTTGTCCCTGTCTTTTCGATGCTGCTCGCTCTCCCTCTTTCTGATGCATTTTGAACGGTTAAATTTCTAGGCTTAAAATTGTCTACAATTCTACAATAAATATTCTTGGGATTGCAGCTGCTGCTTGGGGTTTGGCCTCAAGTCCCTGCCAACGCTTGGCCAGCTGCAGTCCACGACTCGTTCCTCTGCTTAATGCTAGACTTTTGTTTTGGTTTCTTAGACGGAGTGTGAAACAAATTGGCTGGCTTGTTGACGGACACACATGTGTGCTAATTGGGTGCGATTATTTAATATTCAGTTATTTATTGTTGTTCTCCTGCATTAGATCCTCGAGCGCACCGTTGAGGCGGCCCTTGCTGAGCGCCTCCACCAGCATGTGCAAACGCTCCTCCCGCTCCGAGTGACGGCGCTCCAGCAGCGAGACCTGCAAAGAGCACACACAGGTGGGGAAATCAATTAAGGATGCTTTCAAACTGAGCTCGACGCAGTGGACAATTCGTTATCAAACCTCGACGCATGCTCTTGAGTTTCTAGTGAAATTTTGCTTGACTATTCAACTGAATGGGGCGCATGGGGCGCACTTTGACTTGATTTTCTCGCTGGGTTTTTACTTGAATTTGTGTCTGTGTCTGTGTTTGTGTCTGTGTCTGTTTGTGGTTCTGTGGCAGGCGGCCTGCGGCGGCGCATACCTTGGCCTTGAGTGCATAATAGTCGACGGGCACCTTGCGTCGCTTCTGTGTGGCAAATGCCTCCTCCCGCTCGTTCAGGCGCTGCTTCAGTAGGCGCACCGTCTCGTTGCAGCTGGCCAGCTCCCGCTCATGTGCGCTCTGCAGCGTCTTCAGCTGGAACGGAGAACAGAGTTTAGTTTGGGGCTGAGTCAACGGGCGAAGGCCTAAGCCTGAGGCTCACGTCCTGCAGTCGCTTGTCGTGCAGCGTCTTGTAGTCAGCCTCCAGCAGGCGGTACTTGTTTTGGGCCTCCTTCAGTGCTTGGCTCTCGGTGGCGGCCGGAATATGATCCGGATAATGATCGTAGCCGCTGGCACGACGCTGTGCCGAGGCGCCGCCGCTGCCACTGGCCTGGCACTTGCCGTCCAATTTGGTGCCTGCAAAATGCACAGAGAAAAAAGTCAGTGAAGATTTCTTATCACAATTCCAGCCACTGCCCGAGCGGCCCAAAAGGTCTGTTGGGTGTGATTTCCGTTTCGGTTTGAATGTTTTCACAAATCTATTACACAATCGCGAGGCCAAAAGCAATGAAGCGCGCGATTTGCATTTTTACACGCGCGTACGAATAATTAAAACACTTTTTTGTTGCCGCTGATGCGACAGTCGGCGACTGTTGCCGTCTGCCGTTGTCCGCTTTTGGCATTTACAATTATTAACGAAACAAATTTGACGCCAGACGCCAGACGCCAGACGCCAGCGATGGCTCATTAATTAGCCACGAATAAAAACTAACCAGAGAGACAGGCAACAAGAAAGCCAAAGGGACAAGGTCTGTGGCAAGCGACGCTGGCTGTACCCTGTAAATAATTTGTGGACGGACTTTAAAAAGAGTCTTTAAGAGAGCGGCCACAGCTGCTGCTGCCCATTCGGTGGGTAAACCTCGCTCAAATTATAAAACTTGTGCGCATGCTGGGGCTACGGACAGACAGACAGACGGACAGACGGACGGACGGACGGACGGACAGACGTAGCCGCTTTGATCGCCCATCGTGCATCGTCCAGCGACCCGAAGCAGCGTCTTTGACTTTGACTTTCGCTTTCGAATTTTCTTTTTCGAACAGGCAGCACACAAATTCAAATCCAAATCAAGCAAAATGTAAACAACTGGCAGAGGCAGAGGCAGAGGCAGGCAGCATGTGACATAACCAAGTGCCCGAGATGCCAGAGTCAGAGTCGAAAACAGAGACAGAGACAGAGACAGAGACAGAGACAGGGTCTGCCGGCTAGCAAACGTGTTTGGTCTTGCTCTTGGTCTTGGTCTTGGTCTTGGCCATTGGCCGCTCAACGCTTAACGCTTACAGCTGGCTGGCCGGCTGCAATTGCCGTTTGAAACGAGTGCAAAAAGTGGTCAAAAGGCCGACGCGAGTCGACAGCCGTACAATGATTTATTCCAGCAATTTATTTGTCGTCTCTGGCTGGAGCCCGAGCCCCCTGTACGTACGTGCCTGGCCGAGCAGAGAAAGTCCATAAATTAGCGGCCATCCATCGTCGACCGAGTGACACAAACACAAACGCAAACGCAAAGCCACAACCAACAAAAGGCAAACGAGCGTGTGGGAGGCGGGGAGCTGCAGGCACAGGCTGCTGCGGAGAGGAGGAATGAGAAGAGTCACCTGGATTGCCGGTCTCCCGATCTCGCTGCAGCTTCCTTATGGTCTTCTTGCACTCGTCCAGCTCCCGCGTGAGCCGCTGCATGGCCTTGTTCTTGATGGCCAGGTCCACGCGCATGCCGCGCACCGAGCTGAGCAGCTGCGACTCCTCCTTGCTGGCCAGTCCTGGGCCCGGGCCCGGGCCATGGCTGTGGCTCAGCATGGACAGCGTGGAGTCCGACTGCGAGATTGGCAGCTTCGAGACGGGCATCTGCAGTTGGCCAGCCACGGGCCGGCGCTGTGTGGTGGAACTGGCGCCGCTCTGCTTCGAGTTGGGTCGCGATGTATTTGGCGTGGAGTTGGCCGTGCTGCTGGTGCTGCTGCTGGCCGAGTGCTGCTGGGCATGAAGGAGGTGCTGCTGGTTCTGGTGCTGGTGCTGGTGGTGGTGGTGGCACAGGAGCGCCGGCGATGGGCAGCCAATGGTGTTGGTGCTGTGGTCACGGGTCCCATTCGTGATCTGTGCCTGGGTTTGGGTGCCCGTGGTCCCCGTGGTCCCCGTGGTCCCCGTGCTGGCAGCGCCAGTTGCGGGGCCATCGGCCTCTGGCTCCGTCTGTGTGCAATTGTTGTAGAACCTGTCCGCTCGTTTCTGCATGTACCGGTCCAAGGTGCGCACCTGCGACTCGATCTGCTCGTTCAGCTTCGTGTTGATCTCCTGCAGGCTGCAACACAGAGAATTAGTCATTGCAGGTGACGCCTCTCTCTGTCGGGAACCACTTCACCAGCTCCATCCCTTTCTAGCGTAATTTCACCATAGATGGTTCATGGCCCAGCTAAAAACTCACCTCAGCACCTGCGTCTCCAGATCGGCAATGTGCGTCTCGTACTTGGACTGCACCGAGTTGAAGCGTGCCTGGACATTGGCCAGAATCTGCTGTGCCTTGCGATCCTGCTCCTTGGCATCCGACTCCAGCTGTGCGATGCGCTGCTCCAGCAGCTTGCGGCTGGTCACATTCTCCTGGTCATTCAGCGAGCAAAGACCCGAACTCTTGGAGGCAACTGGAGAGCAAAAACCGAAAGTTAAGAGTCAGTGATGGAAGGGGCAGGGGCAGGACGAGGACCCACCTATCAGTGCCGAAACCGAATCCGGATGCTTGCGCATGAGAATGCGCTCCATTTCGCGGCACTGTCGCTGCAGATCCTGTATGGCGCGTGCGTCCTTCTCCTTGCTCTCGCCCGCCCGCCGACGCTCCTGCTGCGCCTCCTCCAGCTCCGCACGCAGCGAGCGCTGCAGCTGCAGTGCATCGCTGCGGTCACGGCGTGCCGCCTGCAGCTCCGACCTGAGCACGCCGGCGCACTCGTTCAGGTGCTGCACGTCCAGCTTGAGCATCTCGGACTCGTCCTGCAGTCGCCCGTTGTGGTCACGGAGCGCGCGTTGGGTCTGCGACAGCGAGTCGCTCTGCAGGCGCACCGATGCCAGGCGCTCCTCGGTGTCCTTCAGCTGCTCCTGCAGCTGCTCGATCTCGTGCTTGAGGGCATGCTCCCGCGACACACTGCACGCGATCTGCTCGATGGGCGACGTGAGGGTGCTGACCATGTGCTTCGGCGAGCTGCCCACCGCCTTCTCGCTGTAGCTGGCCATGGGCCGAATGGGCTGGCTGTATATGTGGGTGTGGCTCTGGCTGCTGGTGATCCTTGCCGGCACCGCCGCTGCCGCCGCTGCCGCCGAAGAGGGCGTGGAGTTGCGCCGTGGCGCCGCATCTGCATCTGCATCCACCTCGGCTGCCTCCTCCATCTGCGAACGGGGAAAAGGAAGATGGCAAACAGATCGTAAGTTTTGGGGCGGACACGTGAAAGTAGCCGACGAAATGTCCGGCAATGGGGGATAGTGACGGGCGCGTCGGTTTTTCTTCTCTCTACACCCACCACATGCCATTCCTCTCTCTCTCTCTCTTTCTTTTGCTTTTTCTCCTGCTGTCTATCTATCTCGCCCACCCCCAACCCCTCCCTCTCTGTCACTCTTGGGATAGGGGAACGAAACGAAACAAAAACGAAACCAGTCGCCAGCACAATAAACCCACAATACAATGACAACTCAATGTCCCGTTGCACAGTGGAGCAAAACTGTGCAATGGTACACCAATTCTGGGCGCGATCGAGACGAAGAACCAAGTGGAAACAGAACGGAAAAATAACGGGAACAGGAACAGGCGCATAAAATATCATCAGCTAAGGAGCGAGAATTGAGAAAATCCCAATTTGTTTTCTTAACAATTTTCAGAAAGAATTTTCCATTGCCAAACTTGCATGCGGCACACACCTATTTTGCCCATGGTTGCCCACTGCTCGCTACCCTCGTCAAATGTTATCGACTGTCAACTGGCCGGCGGCAGCGGCCGCGACAAGGGTATAAGAAGATAATTGTGATGATGTGGGCGTGCAGCAGCTCAACAACAACAACAATGCACTCCAAAAAAAAGCAACAACACATTGAAGAAGAAAGAAAGTTAGAGGCACTGCCTGTTCCTCCGCTTCCTCCTCTTCCTTCTCCACCGTCTGTGTCAGCGTCTTTGGCCATCCATCTCGCCCATTGTCCGTCCGGCTTGTGTTTTTCGGTGTGTACGTGTGTGTATGTGTGTGTTGCTTTTCGGCGCCTTTACCTGCTGCCGATTGACTGACATTACTCTAAGCGGTGGTGCTTTACCCGCCGCTGCCGCTGCCCACTCTCGCTTTCATCACGCTGTGTTTTGGATTCTACCTGAAAAGCATTGCGCATCGCACACCGCCCCCGACACCAGCGACACCTTTTTTTCCCCTACCGCCGCCCATTCACTTCATTCATACTTTTGTGCAAGCTTTTTTTTGGTGTGTGTGTTTTTGTTATGTTTTGTGGCTTTGCGTGCTGCCACTTTCCACTTTAAAACTCATTTGAAATACATAAATATGTCGCAGAGATGAATTGAAATTGGTTCAGGCACATTACTGCATGTTCCCCCACAATTGTTCCTACGATTACTGATAAATAAAACTCTTTAAGCGAAGTACAAGAAAACTATGTATATCTTGATCCTTAGAGTGGAGCACTCTAAAATATGAATATACATATGTATGTAGATCCTGCCAATTGATATTAACAAATGCGTATGCATATTCGGATGTACGATTGGAATCTACTCAGAATATTTGGAGTATATGCACACATATGTATTTGTGTATGTATGCGTGACTCTGATGCTGCCTACTTCTATGAGTTGAGAGAGAGAGAGAGAGAGAGAGACCGAGAAGAGAGCGCGTTGGGCACATGTTTACTTCCAACTGTTTCTAACTGTTGTGCTTATAAGGTTTTTTTTTGTAACTCACACAGAAGTACCCTTCATACCGATTGAGGCATGCAGAGCAAGCGAATTATTGTGACTTTGAAAAAAAAAAAGTGCACATTGCTGTTGTTGTCGCGGCATTTCCCACAGTCAACATCTCTGATGAACAAATAAGATTTCGATTAAGTGTGACCCACTGATAGAAATTTGCTCCATGCCAATAAAAGTGTAGTGTAATCCAGTGTAGTGTAGTGTATTAAGGACAATTTCACTACTTGACCCAGGTAATTTCAGCTATTGTCACGTGTGTGTGTGTGTGTGTTTGTGTCTGCTGGTTGCTGCTTTGCAATTACTTGAACTCTCGCTCTTCCTCAATTGTCATTTGATAAACTCCACTTATAAAGTGAAAGGAGCGGTAAACAACAACAACAAGCAGGCAGCAACAGCAAGCAATGGTAACGGTAACGGCGCCAATTGTTTGCGCGCGGAATGGAACGAGGTGCGCGGGTTGATTAGACAGCAGAGCAAAAGCAGAAGAAGGAGGTGGAAGAGGAGAAGGAGGAGGAGGAGGAGGAGGAGCGTGGGGTAATACTTAACCAACAACAACAGCTACAGCCATCAGATGTGTATGTAGAGTATTTATTAAGTATGTAAATATGTGTATGTAAGTACATTTATTCAGAAATCCATGTCAATGAGCCACAGAAAATTGGAAACTTTTTGAAGCGCGCCAACACAATGACGCTTCCAAGCATCCAACTTGAACGATGAATGAATCAGTCAACGGATCAAACCAGAACATATACATACACACATACACATACACGAATACATATTTATGTACACATTTTGGTAGCGTACCTTTACGGGTGCGCCCATCCTGCTGCTCTGAAACGCGCCGAGTGTACCCAATGAGCCATTCATTTAACACGCAATTGCCAATTGACATCGATTATGAATTGAGGCTGGCTTCAGTTGCACTTGAAGATGTAAATGGAAATGCAGCAAGTGGTGGGTGGGGTTGGGGGAAATGCACAGAATGCATAGAAAGTCGAGCAATTGTTAATTATAATTATGACAGATGACGTGCACTTAAGCAAAAACTCTGATAAATGCAAAAAAATTAATCTGCACAAAGAAAAATAAACACAAATTTCCCTTTTGCCCCAGTAAAGTGCAAAGCAAACAAAAAGGAGAAAGAGAGAGAGAGAGAGAGAGAGAATACTCTCCCGAATATCCCATAGGCAAGCCCAATTCCAGCTTGTTCCATTTTCCATCTATTTCAGAAAAATCCCTCTCAAATGTCTTCCAGCAACTTAATTGCATCAAATACTCGAAATAATAATTTAATTTGCTTATTTTTGGTAGTGTAAGTCCCCAGTTCCAGAGCACCAAAAGAAAGCGAGAGCGGGAGGGCCGTGAAGATTTGTTAGTTATGCCGATTGTCGATGGTCGTTTGTCCCATTGTCGCGTTGGCGACATGCGCCCGCAAACGAATTTGAGGGGGGAGTGAGGATTAACATAAAAGATCAAGACAATTTGGGGCTGGAGCAGGGGGACGACTCGTTCACAAGGAAGAGAGCGCAGAGTTGAAGAGCAGAGCAGAGCGGAGTGGAGCAGTTGGGGTGGGTAGCCATGCCGCATTTACATACATAACACGATTGGACACACACACACACACACACACATACACATGAACATGTGACAGCAGCTTTGTCGGTTACCGTTGCCCACTGTAAGTGACGCTGCTGCTGCTGGTTGCTGCTGCTGCTGCTGCTGCTGCTGCTAACGCTGACGCAGCTGCTGGCTGAGAGAAATATCGAAAATGAAATGGCAATACTTTCCCAGCGTTGGTATAAAAGCGACACTCCACGAATGGGACATGTCTCATTACGGTTTAGTGTCAGATCTCGCAAAGATGTACAACGGGAGATCGCGTAGTGCCTCAAGGACGGGTCCCGACTGTGGTTCCCGCTCCGCCCCAATCTCCATTCTCTTGCTAGCCCTGCTGGGCGCCATGCAAACGACAACAGCCATGTCGCTGGATCGCCTCGCCCTCGAACGGAACGAGCTGCCAGCCGCTGCCCAGAACGATCTGCTGGTGGATGACATGAAGCTGGCCTCACTGGCCACGGCCAGTGGCGACACGGACATGTACATGCTGGTGCCAGAGTCGGTGGCCAGCCAGCTGAATGCCGCCGATCGCAATACCATTGAGAGCGGCGCCAGCGAATCCGATGCGGATGCCGATCTGCCAGGCAGCTCGGACATGCTAATGCTGGAGAGCGACGACACACCGGCCATGCAGCTCGTCGAGCTGCCCAGCGACATCACAGTGGCCGAAGCAGAAGCAGAAGCAGAAGCTGATCCCGAGGCAGAAACTGCTCACGAAACTCAGCCAGAGATGCACATCCATCTCCAGCCGGAGATGATTGAGGAGCATGTGGTGGAGCATTCGGTGGAGGGTACAGTCGAAAGCAGTCAGAAACAGTCCAGCAGCCAGGAGGCACAGCTGGAGGACGCCGAACAGGCGGTGGAAACAGCCACAGAGACAGCAGCAGCAGCAGCAGCAGCAGTCCTCGAGGAGGAGGAGGAGCAGCAGATCGCGAATGATGAGCCAGCGGCAAGTACTGATGATGAGGCGGCGGCCACAGAGAGTGCTGCTGAAGTCATTGCCGAAGCTGTCGAAGAAGTGGAAAAGGAACTCGAGCAGGAGGAGCAGGAGAATGCCCAGCCAGAAGAGCAGCAGCCACAGGAGGAGGAACAGCAGCTGACCCTGCAGGATGCCGCTGAGACGCAGCCAAAACCAGAGCAGGAGCAAAAGATTTCTGAGCCTGAAGTTGAAGCTGAAACGGAGCCCCAAGCGGATGCCCAGCAGCCCAGTGAGAACGAGGTGGACACCACAGAAGCATCCCTGATGGAGAGCATGGTCGAGGGCATTGAAGAAGGCCTCACCGCTGCCATGGATAACCTCGTGCCCGAGGAGATTGCCGAGGCAACAGAAGACAAACAGACAGAGGAGCAGCAGGAGGAGGAGCAAGAGCAGCAAAAGGAAGCACCAACAGAGACAGAGCCCGAGCCAGAGCCCGAGCCAGAGCAGGCCGCTGTCGAGGCTGTCGAGGAGGAGCAATCCCCAGCCACAGAAGCCGCAGCTATCGAGGAGGAGGAGGAGCAGCAGTCTCTGGCTGCAGCTGCCGAGCCTGAAGCCGAGCAGGAACCCGAACAGATTGAGATCCTAGCAGATGAGCCAGCAGAGATTTCTCAGGCCTCAGCTGCTGTGCCAGCGGAAGCCGAAACGGAGCAGCCACAGGCAGCAGTCGATGCAGTCCAGACAGCCGAGGAAGAGCAGCCACAACCAGAGACCCCAATCGAGGCTGAACCCAAGCCAGAAGAGGCTGAGAAGGAAGAAGTGCAGAACGATGCAGAGGCAGCACAGCCAGAGCCAGAGCCAGAGCCAGAGCCAGAAACTGTAACCGAAGCTGAAGCTGAAGCTGAACCAGAGCTGGAAGTCCACGAAGCTGAACCTGAAGCCATAAAGGAAGTCCTGCAGATGGAGGAACAGAAGCCTGTCGAAGAGGTCCCAGTGGTAGCAGCCGAAGCCGTTGCCGTTGCCGAGCCCGAGCCCGTGACTGCAGAGCCATCCATTCTGACCACCATCATTCCCATGGTGCAGCCACAGTCGCCGGTGCAAGTGGCCGACAGTGTGCTCAACTATGTGAACGCCTCGTTCCTGCTGCAGCAGCCCGCGGAGGAGAGCTCAAGCCCCTTCAATGCCCATCTGCGCCGCTACGATGGCGCCCAAGTGTGGCGCATTGTGGTGCAAACGGACAAGGATAAGCGATTGGCGGATGAGCTGCAGTCGAAATATGGTAAGTGGCAGTCACCCCAGTCATCATGAGCCTGCTTTAATGCTCCTCCACTCCCCACACCACCCCACTCTAGATGGACAACTGTGGAAGGAGGTGAAGCAGGAGGTGGACTATCTGCTGAAGCCGCAGGTTTTGGCTGCCGCTGAGCGTCACATTCGTGCCGCCAATCTATCCCGAATTGTGCTAATCGACAACCTGCAGCATGTCATTGAGGTGGAGAATCCGCCAGCGGAGAAGATAGCCGAGCTGCAGAATCGCAAGGGTGAGTAACGGACAGCAGGCGGACACTGTACGGACAGGTGTTGCATACAGCAAGGGGGTTGGTGTCTAGGTGTCGCCACAAACGAGCATTTAATGGGGCAGGGCGTGTGAAAAGTCATCAAGCGAAAAGTGGCAGGACCGCCGTCGAAGGGTTTGCCATAGGAACAACAGGAAGGGTCCTGCCACGTTCCACGTGCCACGTGCCACGCACCAGCGGGCAGGAGCAGCAAGGAGCCGCTCAGTTGTTTAATCGATAGCCAGAGTCCTCTCTCAAGAAGGTCAGGATCAGGCGAACGGAGGGGTTGCTCACGCAGTCAGGCTTTGGGTTTGGGCTTGGGTTTGGGTTTGTTAAGGTTGAATGAACCAAGTTGCTAAGAGTTCTCTCTCCACCCACACACACAGGACACCGCTTGACTTGGCAGGCCTACCATCGCTTGGAGGACATCCACGGCTTCATTGACTACATGGCGAAGACTTATCCAGACATTTGCTCCACCGAAATCATTGGCTACTCCGTGGAGAAGCGACCCCTGAAGATACTCAAGTAAGTGCAGGGAGTCAGAGACCCAACAAGTCCCAAACTTATGGCCATCCATCCTTGCGCATAGAATCTCCAATGGAAATGCGCGCAATCCCGGTGTCTGGATCGACGGTGGCATGCATGCCAGAGAGTGGATCAGCCCGGCCACAGTGACCTTCATTGCCAATCAGCTGGCGGAGGGTTGGGAGGATCTGCCGGAGCATATGCGCAGCATCAACTGGTACATCCATCCGGTGGCCAATCCCGATGGCTACGAGTACTCCCACACCACCGATCGTCTGTGGCGCAAGAACATGCGCGCCCATGGCCGCCAGTGTCCCGGCGTTGATCTCAATCGCAACTTTGGCTACAAGTGGGGCGGCAAGGGCACCTCGGCCAGTCCCTGCTCGCAGACATATCGCGGCAGCAAGGCCTTCTCCGAGCCAGAGACCTTCTACATCTCGAAGTTCATTAGCGGCTTCCCACGCGAGACCTTCCAGGCGTATCTCTCGTTCCACAGCTACGGCCAGTACATTCTCTACCCGTGGGGCTACGACTACCAACTGACGCAGGATCGTGCCGATCTCGATCGTGTGGCACGCCAAGCGGGCACGGTAAGTGAATTGCCCAAAGTGTCTCAATGTATTCATTTTCCAACATCGCTCTCCCCCGTCGTAGAGCATCACCAAGTCAACGGGCGTCAAGTATACGGTGGGATCTTCGGCCACCACTCTGTACCCAGCTGCCGGTGGCTCCGATGACTGGGCCAAGGGCATTGCCGGCATCAAGTATGCCTACACCATCGAGATGGGCGACACCGGGCGCTATGGCTTCGTTCTGCCCGCTCGCTTCATTCAGTATAATGGCAAGGATGGCTACACCTTCGCGGACACCGTTGCCCGTGCCATTGCCCAGGGGCGTGGCAAGGCGGTGGGCAGGAACAGCAGCGGCAGCGGCAGCAGTCGACGCCGCCACTAGGATGATTTCGCGTGTAACCCTAGTTAAATGCAAATAATTTTTTTTTTGTTTTTTTTTTTTATGTTTTTACTAGCCCAAAAAGGGTTTTAATTGTTCTTTTTTTTTTTGTGCGCTATTTATATGAAAACTATTTATTTATTTAATTATTTATTGTACTTGTAACTAGACAAATTGAACAACAAACACACACACACACACACACAAACACACACAAACAAGAACAAAACTCATCGAAGTAGACTGAGAAATTGTTTATTAAAAAGAAAAAATCAAATGGAAAAGTGTGTTTGAAAACTTTGATGGCAACCCTGGCACATCCAGCGAAGAAATATACACAATTGGTACGAAGAGGCACGAAGGGAATGCGCGAGAATGGAACTCGCGCTGAAACTTTCGTAGCTCCGCTCGAGCTGACGTGTATGCCAGTCGGGCAGCCGTATAACAGTTTGCAGTAGCACAGCACAGCACAGCACACGCGCAAGGTAAAAGTTTTGCAAAGACTTCAAACAGAAGCAAATATTCAGCCATGAATCGTTCTATGCAAATCCGCTGGGCCGATGGCCTTAATTTGACAACAGCAGGGGGGGGGGGGAGCATGGAGAACGCAGAGCGAAGCACCGTTAGATGGGGCGCGCCGATGTCTGATGCCAACAAAATCGAACAAATTAAACACAAATTAGCTGCCAAAGGGCACACACAGAGTCCATTCCCAGCCACAAGATTTACTTCCCCAGCATCATGCAGCCATGGGCAGTGCCGCTGCTGGCAGCTTCGTGTCTGCTGCTGCTGCTGCTCCCCGCTGAGGCCAGGGGCCACGAGGAGCTGGCGGCACGCACCGACAATCGTCTGAGACTCCGCTTGCCCTTCTTCGGTGGCGGCGTGGGCCAACTTTTGCACTATCTGCGACCCCTGGAGGCCAGCGTCACTGCTCGCACGGAGCTGCGCAGCGAGCTGGACGCCAATCATGTGACCTATCGCGGCTGGCAGCTCTGGAAGCTCGACTTCAATGTCAGCATGGTGGAGCAGGGGGAGCAGCGATCCCCGGATGCGCAGTTCAATGAGGCGGTGGAGAAGTTTGGTGAGTGAAACGAGCAGGAGAAAATGTCAAAGAAAGAAACAGAGAAGAATAGAAGCTCGCTGGGTGGAGAGGTCACGCATAAATTTAGCATAAATTCCCAAGAGAATTCGGCAAAGAAGAAACCCGCTAGGCGGGAACCTCTTTCGAGGCTGCAGTTTCAGTTCTGATCGCGAAGCGGCGATGACTGCTGAGGCGTTTTTGCTCTCTGTCGTGGCCCTGCTGGCTGCCTGCCACTGCCACTGCCACTGCCAAGTGCTGCTCTGGCGTAGCGTCTCCGTGCCGGAGACCCTCGTGGGACTGTCGGAACTGCCGCTGGCCCTGTGGTCACTCAATGGCAGCGATCTATACGAGACCACCTTCGAGAGTCTGCAGTGGCTGTCGCCCATGGACTTGCGGCGATTCGACTTCCTGTCAGCGAGCTCCTCGTACCAGATCAATCGACGCTACAGGAACAGCTCCAGTGTGCAGCGCTACTACGGCCATCAGCTGTGGAAGTTGCACGAGACGCGACTGAGTCAGCCGCAGCTGAGGGCCTTTTGGCGGCACTTTGGTAGCAGCAACAACAGTCTCGGCCCATACCCAGTCTCCAGTGTCTCCTTTGTGCTCTCCCATTGCAGGCAGCGAGGTGTGGAACATCAATCAGGATGGCATTGACATTGTCATCGAGCAGAAGAACGTGGCAGCTGCCAGGCAGTTCATGCAGCAGGTGAGCTTCAGCTACAACGTGATGATCGACGACATGGAGGCGGCCATTGATGAGACATACGCAGAGGTGGATGGCCAGCAGAATCAATCCCGACCCTGGCTGGAGCGCGAGGGCATGCTGCTGACTTGGCGGCGCTTTCACGACCAGGGCGACATTCAGCAGTTTCTGCAGACACAGCTCGAGGCGCACTCGGAGCTGGTGGAGCTGGTGCAGATTGGTTTGACGCGCAACAAGCGACCGCTGGAGGTTATCAGGTGGGTCGACGGGGCCTAGCTTCAGCCTATTATTATCTATAGTCTATTTATTGTTTCCCTTCCTCGCAGAATATCGAATGGCAATCCTCGGAACTGGGCCATCGTTGTGGATGCGGGACTGCAGGCGAGGGATTGGCTCAGTCCCGCTGCCCTCACCTATGCCATAGCGAAGCTCACCCACTTGTGGTCGGAGAGCAAGCTGGAGAAGATGATGCGCCGCATCGACTGGTACTTCCTGCCGCTGGCCAATCCCGATGGCTATCAGTACGCCCGCCAGACCGATCGCCTGTGGACCAAGAATCGTGGCTTTGACCCTGCCAGCGGCTGCTACGGCGTCAATTTGGATCGCAACTTTGAGCACGGTTGGGGTGCGTCTGGCACCACGAGTAATCCCTGCAAGAATCTGTACAGAGGTGCCGCAGCCTTCTCCGAGCCCGAGACGCGCTCCCTGCGCAATTTCCTGCTGGGCATGCGCGACCATCTCGGTGGCTATGTCTCCCTCGGTGGCTACGGACAGACCGTCACCTATCCCTGGGGCGATGCCGATTACGTGACGGAGAATCAGCGCCAGCTGAGGCAAACCGCACGCCAGGCGGTGCTCAATCTGCGGCGCCTCAACGAGGCCGAATACTCCACGGGCACCAGCTACCGCCAGAAGCTGGCGCGTCCGGGCAACTCCGCCGACTGGGTGCAGGATCGCATCGAGCCGCAGTTTGTGTACAACTTATTCCTCAAGGACCAGGGCCGTTACGGCTACCTCATGCCGCCCCATTACATTGTGGAGTCCGGCGAGGAGGTCTTCGAATTTCTACGCACCGTCGCACAGCAGCTGCAGTGAGCCGAGGAGCCTCTTCCGCGCAATTTAATTCTAGTAATTTATTCCTCTTTCTTTTGTATGACTAAAATGCATAAAATAAACACTCCGTTAACAGCGGTAACTTCCAACTTGCAACAAGAAATCAGCCGCGAAGATCACACAAAAGCGTTGCCTACTTTGGGGCGGGGCGCACAAATCAAAGCTTTGGGCCCACATGTAGAACAGTTTTTGGCAACTGTGCTAAAACAAGCAACGATTCAAACAGTTCTCGATGAGCAGCTGGGCCAGCACGGAGCATACCAAACGCACTCACGGGCCATGGTCCATGTCCATTATGGCTTGGCATGGCTTGGGGGGGGGGTCTGATTAAGATTTCGCAATCGCGCATATTGTGGCTCCCCATTAACGGTTCGCGTTATGTAAACGAGCCAAATGGCGAACAAGAATGTTCAGGCAAAAACAGACAAATAGAAAGCTATCAAAGAGCGAGCGAGAGAGAGGAAGTGGGAGAGAGGAAGAGCTGTTGGCAAAGGGGAGAGAGAGGGACGGACAGGGGCAGATAAATGAAAAGGAACTTTCACTTTCAATCGCGTTATGAAAACCTGTAAGCTCAACTTTAGATCGATTTTTTGTTGTACTCTTTTTGTTGCTTTCATCATTTGGTTGCATATTTGATTATGGGTAGCGAGCGAGCTTCGATGAAAGTGATTTGAACACGCTAAAACGGGAAACGCAACTTGGAAACAAGAAGAAAAAGAAGTGCCAGAGGGAGAGGGAGAGGAAGAGGCAGATATGCCATTACATATTTCATTCATAGCGTTTACACACTGTACCGTACCGTACCACACCGTAACATACCGACAAATTCAGTGAGGAAGAATCAAAAGTAGAAGAAAGTTTTCGCCATGTGCCCGTCGTCTTTCATTTGGGGCACAGACTGTACATGACAATCAGCGATGCGAACCCACAAAAGAAATGGTGCACCCGAACAAAATCTTCCATTGAGGCGCTGCCGCCGCTCTCGAAAAAAAGGGTTAAAAGTGAAAATCTGGCCACAAGAAATCACAAGAAAACAAAATAAATAACGACAATGCCCCCGGGGCGATCGACTCAAGTGGGGGAGTAGCAGAGTGGGAGGGGGGGTGGGTCTGAAGGTGGTCATGGAGAAGGTGCTCCACAGCCTGATCAACAACAGCATCCACATCAAAGGCGAAAGAAAGTAAAATCTCGCCAAGTGGGTCAAAAATTGCCCAGTCATACAGCACACACACACACACGCGCACTGACAATTGAGCAGCGCTGCCTTCGGCACAACAACAACAGCAGCACAGAACGGTACACAAGGAGAGAGAAAGACAGAGAAAATAGAAAAGTGAGCGCATCGACAATGAAATACCCATGGAGCACTCAACAACAGACTGCATCGAATAAATTAAAGAATAATGAAAGATGCCTGATTCCCATTTGGGTTTTCCCCCAGTTTGATTCATGGTCGTGAAGACTAACGCTCAAGTCAAAGTCCCCAGCTAATATGCACTCTCTGCGCTTACCCTCGTCCGTCTACAGGGTATTACAGCTGCGAGGCGTTCGGCGATTCTCAGAGGTAAATGAATTAAATCAAATTTACAGCAACGCACTTAACATTTCTGCGTGTGTGTTTTTGTAATGTAAATGTAAATGTAAAGCGAGAGAGAGTGAGAGAGAGAGAGGAAGCGCAGAAAGTAGATTTTATGGAGGAGGGCGGGCCCCCCATATGTTGGGAAGTTCCTTAATGTTGCGGATAAACCCTTTGATTTGCATTCTTGAGTGCATTAGCAATCATTAAACATCAAAGCTGAGGGGGGACTGAGTTCCTGGAATCAAAGATTAATGACTGGACTTTGTTTGGCGCTGAATCATAACAGTCCGTGAGAATCTTAGGCAGCTGATGGCAGCTGGGCTGCTTGTCATCAAATGTCAATGCCGCCGGCTGGTAATGCACTTAACCCTGCAGTTGGACACAGATGTACCGCAGCGTGGGCGTGGGCACTCATCACTCTGCACTCGGACTTGGGGCTCTCCCTCTCTCTCTCTTCCCGCACATGCACACACACACACACACACACACACACAGCTCGGCCAGCATGGCAGCGTGCAGGCCAGACAGGGATGGAGATGTTCCACTCCATGCGTAAGTGTGTGACTCTCTCGTTGCCACTGGCTAACGGCGCTGGCGCTGACGGCGCTGACGACGCTGGCGCTTCTGCGCTCACCTGCCTGTAAAGCGCAGCCGCTGCTGCTGTTGCTGCTGCGACTGTTGTCCCATTCAGTACGCGACGATCGCTCCAAGATCGGTTGTCGTGTTCAGCGCAATTTTTACAACAGATTTGCTGTTTTTTTTTTGTTTGCTTGCTGCCAGTGTGTGTGTCTGTGTGTGTGTTTCGGTTTTCGCTGTTATTGTAATTCTCGGTTTTGGCGTTTTTTGTTTTTTGTTTTTTGGTTTTTTTCTTTTTTGTTGTTTTTTTCGTTTGTTTTCCCCTCCTGCACACTGATCTCTGGCAGAGCGGCCATATAAAAATTGAAGCGCATACAAACGCAGCATTTAGTCTGGTGTCAGCCTGTCATCCCGCTACACACAGCGCTCTCCTCTCTTCAATACGCAAGCGCCTGCACGCAGGCACGCACGGACAGCAGCACGACACGAGAGCACGCACACGCACGGAAGTACGCACTCTCTTTCGCTCTCTCTCTCTCTCTCTCGCCCAGAGTCCAGCCGGCAAAAGTGCACACATTCCACCCCCGCCACACCACTGGACCAGCAGCAAAGAGTAAGCAACAACAAAATCAAATGAAATTCGCCCGTATGCGTATGTGTCTGTGTAATGAGTAATGGGTAGTGGGCGCTGGCAGAGAGGAAGTGTAATGAGGAATGAGGAAGCGCATTTGCATGGGCATGGGCCTGGGCATGTAACGGGAATGGTATGGGATCCGACACCAAAAACAAAACAGGTTCGCCTCCCGAAACGAAACGAGTTGAACACTTTTGGGCTTTTGCTTTTGCTTTTGTTAGGCAGCCCCGAGGAAAGTCCAGGACCAGGTCAAGCTTTTACAGACACATCCGAACATCCGAAACCAAGCAGTGCGCTCAGTTTGTCCGAGAGAACCTGTTCTCGGAGACCCCGTGCTCCGAAGTGCCACTTTCTGCATGGCAATAAAAAAGAAGAAAATAAAAACAAACACACAACAGATAAACAAATACGCAATACAACAACACAACAACATAAAAATAAACCATATACGGGACAGGGAAATTAGCACAGTCACGTGAAAAAAAAAGAGGTTTAGAGATCGTTTGCTGATAGATTTCCACTCCGGGACTTAGATCAGGGTCTCTCCGAACACTGTCCCGAACTAATGCGCCATTCAAATCACATTCGAGGAATCCGAATTCGAATCACGATCGAACGTCAGTGGAATTCGTAAAGGCAAAATGCAAATTTCGGCAATGAACTTGGGACAAACATTGTCCGAAATATCTTCAAGCTCCAGCAAGCCTCAGTGGAAAATGGAACGCCAAATGATTCACTATCTGTAATTACTTGAAACACACAACTGAAAAAATAGTTACAGACTTCGTGCACATTTGTATTTACGATAACCGCTGGTCGTTGACAATGGAACGGAAATGTGTTATGTCGTTTTTTGTGCGCTAATTAGATGACCTTTGCACACCTGATTTAATATTTGAGTTAATTACGCAGTTGGTCGCATTTAAATTGCGATTATCGCAAGAGTTTTCGCTTTCTAATTTGAATTTCCCGGCTAAACAGGCCAAGTTCCAATCAGGTCAGTCGAGTAAACCCCAATTTCGGAGCGCTGCTGCTGAGTGTTTCGACGTGTGGAAGATTTCCCAGCGATAGCAGAACTGTAATTGGCTTCCGAGTTGTTTGTTCAGGTAAAAATAGAAGAAGTGTCAGCCAGGCTAGGCTCATCACTTTCTTATTTCGACTCAACGCTCATTCAGTCTGTGGCTGGGCAGCACAGTCGAATGGGCAGCACTGGCCCGTTAATGGGCATTGCCTGAGTCAGAACCAAATTGCTAAAGGGAAAGGCAATTACTTACAGCAGGCAGCTCGCTCGCATGCTGCGCAGCTGCATGTCCCAGAGTCAGTCCCAGAACGAGAGTCGAGCTGATAACACGCTGCTTTGTTTTCCAGCTCTGATAGTGATGTCGCCGCCAAGTCCCGCGCCAGTCCCCTGGCTGCTGCTACTGCTGCTGATAGCAGCCGCAGCAGTGGCATCAGCACAGACGATACCGATGACGCTGGACGTGAACGAGATTCCACAGAGGTATGACGAGGCGCAGCTCTGGAGGATCTACAACATATCGGAGGCGATGCAGCGGCAGGTGCCCGTGAGCCAGGTGCTCGAGCAGAAATTCGGTGGCAACATTTGGAAGGAGAACTCAAAGTTTCTGGACATTTCCATTGCCAAGGAGCAGCTGAAGGCGGCGCGCTCCTTCCTCAATGCCCAGCGCCTGGATGCCCAAGTGCTGTCCGACAATGTCCAGGCCATGATCGATGAGGAGCACATGAATGGCATCAATGCCACCAGAGCGGACCTTGGCCACAGAACAAGTAAGTTCAAGTGGAAAGCGCAGACTGAGTGAATCTCTCATTCGATTCGATTCCCATTCCCATAACCCACAGAGAAGGCCACGCGTAGCAGCATGCACTGGAAGGACTATCACGATCTGGAGACCATCTATGCCTTCATGCGGGAGATCCGCAGCAAGTTCCCGAACATTGTGCGCCTCTACACGATAGGCCAGACGGCCGAGGGTCGCGATCTGAAGGTGCTACGGTAGGTGCAGTCAGTCTTTCTCCCCCCCCAAACAATGTGCCTAAAAGTTTGCTTTAGAATCTCAGAGAATCCGCGCGAATACAAGAAGATCTGGATAGACGGCGGCATCCATGCACGCGAGTGGATCAGCCCGGCGACGGTGACGTTCATCCTGTACCAACTGATGTCCAACTGGGAGAACCAGCCGGCCCACATTCGCGGCCTCACGTGGTACATCATGCCCGTGATGAATCCCGATGGCTACGAGTACACGCGCACCACCAACCGCCTGTGGCGCAAGAATCGATCGCCCACGCGTCGCTCCAGCTGTGTGGGCGTCGATCTGAATCGTAACTTCGACATTGGATGGTCGGGCTACGGCTCCTCGACGAATCCCTGCAGCGACACGTACCGCGGCTCGGCGCCCGCCTCGGAGGCGGAGACCAAGGTCGTGACGGAGTTCCTCGCCAAGCGCAAGTACAATCTGGAGGCGTATCTGACGTACCACAGCTACGGCCAGATGATCGTCTATCCGTGGGCCTACAAGGCCGTCAAGGTGAGGGATGCCAGCGTGCTGCAGCGTGTCGGCAACACGGCCGTCCAGCGCATTTCCCAGAAAACTGGCAGCACCTACGAGGCGGCGGTCACCCACGAGGTGCTGGGCATTGCCGGCGGCGGCTCCGACGACTGGAGTCGTGCGGCGCTCGGTGTCAAGTATGTGTACACCGTGGAGCTGCGTGATCGCGGCGCCTATGGCTTTGTGCTGCCACCCAAGTACATCAAGGACACGGCCCTCGAGGGCTGGACCGTGGCCGAGACGGTGGCCCAGGCCATTGGATAGACATTTGCTCCTCTTCCCGGAATGACGAGTGTCTGTCTGTCTGTCTGTCTGTCTATCTGCCTGTCTGAATGGTTGTGTGGTCCAGTGATTGATGAATAATTATTTATGTTTTATGTTTGTGTGCCGAGTGTGTGTGCGTGTGCGTGTGTGTGTGTGGATATCCTTCATTCTGTGTGGCAGGGAAAATAAACAAATCAAAGCTATTTATTTATAGAAAAGAATCGAAATTTCTGTCTGTAATCGATAACCAACGATAAATAATCGAAAGCAAGCCTGCCTAGCCCTGCAGGAAGCTGCTCAGTGGCGCAGCAGCAGAAAGGATGGAAAAGGGAATGCATTCACTCACCGTATCCTCATCATCGTCCGTGTTGTCCAGCTGCGATTGCAGCTGAGCGTTCTGTGCTGCCGTATTGTTGTGCATGTCCTTGGGCGTGGACTCATCCGAGATGACCGACTCCGAGGGCAAATTGTCAACGAAGGCGGCAAACCCGTCGCCGCCATTCAGCTCGTGTGGCGTCTGGGCCGGTGTTGGGGCTGGCGATGACTTTGCCTTGTGTCTGGCATGGCTTGGGCCGCCTGCGGGCAGTGCACGTGCCCTGGCCAGACCCGATCCCGGCTTGGGTGGCGAATGCTCAATGCGGTGCGTGTAGCGTGTGTTCAGACGGATGCTGCTGTGCGGCGATGACTGTGGCGAGGACGAGGGCGTGTGGCTGGCGCTTTGGTTCTGGGACTTTGTCTTTGCCTTCGCCTGGCCATTGCAATCGCCACCGGCACCGGCACCGGCACCGCCACCGCCACCACCATTCAGCCTGGTTTCAATTGTGTCCGTGGTGAGGCAGCGCAGCTGCTGCTGAATGAGACGCTCCGCCTCCTGCAGTAGCTCATCGACGGAGCGGGTGTCGCTGTTGTCCGAGAGGCGGCTCACCTCCTTGAAGATGCTCTCCGGGTCGGCGTCAACGCCGCCGTCCTGCTCTTTGGCCAGGAAGTCAATGATCGAGCTGCTGCCGTTGAATTCCAGGCCCCCGTCGAGGCCGCCCGCTGCCATGCTCTCGCCCATGGCCATGCCGACGCGACGCTTCTGGGGGCTGAGCACCTTGGACATGGTGCAGCGGCAGTCAGTCAGGGACCAGCCTCTGCTCTGTCTTCCTCTGACCTCGCGTTGTATCCTGGCGAAGGATGCTGGAGGGAGGAGGGGGGCGAAGCTGACGCCCAGCCTCTGGCGTATGTCACGCCCACGCCCACGCCCACGCCCACTTCCTCTTTCCTATTCTTCTTCGCTTGTCTCGCTCCTGTATCGCGTCTGTCTGTATGTCTGTCTATGTGTGTGTTTGTTTTTAGGTTTGCGTGTGTGTGTGTGTGTGTGTTGGGCTCACTCTCTGCCTGTTTTCCTCCAATTGGTTTACTTCTTGTGTTTCTTGTTTTGTGGATATGAATGTACAACGAATTTAGCACTCTCTGTGGTACCGAACGGGATTAAACGGACACGAGCACCTGAACGAAAATAAACTATTCAGTGTCCTGTGTTTCTCGTTGCATTTTTTCCGCCTTGTTTGATAAATAGATGTTTACAGTGTGACCGCGCACTTATCGATAGATATACCGCCTGACATACCTCAGCAATATACCTTCTCACTTTTAAATATACTGAAAATATACCGATGGAAATCGTATTCCTCGATATTGATATTCTATTTAATATTACCAGCTAGCCAAGACTCTCAGCACTGGAACTATAATTGTATTCAATTGCTGAAACAATCTTGCACAATATTGAGTAGTTTTTAGGACAACGTTTTGTTTTACTGTTGCCAAAACAAGCATATGGCAAAAGCCGGCAGTGGGAGTGCAAGCTCAAGGATGCAACTGTTATCGAATTGGTGTACACAAATGTATAGTCGGTTTGCGTTTCCATGCTATAGGGGTAAGTCTAATTGTAATGGAATAAGACCATTGCCAATCAAATATTGGGTTAAACCTACTTTAAATGCTTTGCTACAAATATTGTAAACCAAATTGGGAAATGAAATATCGAAGCTTGTGCAGTGCAACCCTGCATGGAGCTGCAACGCGTTTCGCGGGTTGCAAGTTTAAATATACATAGTTTAAACCCAATAACCTTAATTTTAACTTTTTATTAGATGCTGCGCATATAATTTTCAAGTGTAACCGGTATAGGATGTCCCTTAAGCAGAAACAGCTCCAAGTCCTCCAGCACAAGTGGACAAAGTTTGGTCTCTTCGGCAAAGGAAAAGGCTCTGCCGCTCACGTGATTCGCACCAATCCCAATGCATTGCAAAGTTCCGTTTTGCTGGTATGCGTGTGTGCGTGCCGAGCCCTGGTCTACACAGAGGCATCTGCTTGGCAGGAAGTAGCAGAGCTGGTGGTACTTTTATCGCTGGTATCAAATTACAATTAACTCACATTTTTAATTTTTTTTTGGTTTTATTTTTGCTTTTTTTTTGTTTTCTGCAAGAACAATATATGAAGTACTTCCTATATATATATATATATATATATATATATATATATATATAGACTTTTTTCACATTATCGACAAATTTTAAAACACAAAATAAATATACATGCATTTTGTTCCCGAAATTGTTTCTCTCTCTCTGTCTCGCGTACGCGCTCGCCACTCTCTCTCTCTCACTCGCGCTCTTCTCTCTAGATTTTTGTAGCCTAAATATGACATTTTTTGTGGTTTTCTTTTCTTTTTCTTGTAAACGTACACGTACACGTACACATACATATACATATATTTATTTATATATATAGGTTTTTTTATATTTATAATTAGGGTGTGCTCCTTAGCTTAGGTTTAGGTTTAGATTTAGGCAATAAAATAACTGTTTTTATTTATGCACTCTTAAATCTCTTCTTACACTTCGCTTTCGCCTTCGCTCTCTTCTCCTTTCCGCTCTCTATCGTTTTCGCGCTGTCTCTGCTTAATATTGGGAGCCGAGTAATCTTAAGATTACAGCATGTGTGGAGATGTGTTTATTTTATATATCTACTGTATAATTAAGAGTACGAATAGGTAAAAAAAAAAAAAAACACATACGCACAAACACACACATGCACAGACACATTACAAATTAAAACCAAAAACGCACTCGCATAAAATCGCTGATTAAACAATATTTACATGTTTTTTCGGTAAGCAGTAGGTTTTCGTTTATAGTTTTTGTTTTTTGTTCTTTTAGTTTAGGCTAATATTGCTTATGACTATATAACGTACACATATCAGTAGTGGATTTGGATCTTTGTGTTGTTCTTGTTCGGGTTCGGTTCCGGTCCCGGTTCGTGTTCCAGTTCCAGTTCCAGTTCCGGTTCGTGTTCCGGTGCGGTATCAATGCCAGTTAGGTTTACCGTTACCATTCGGCTTAGGGTTTTTTCTTGTTTTTTTTTTCGGCTTGTAGTTTCAACGCTGACCATGCTCAAGAGTTTGCTATCACTTTTTGGGGTTAACACAAACGAATAAACGAGTATTCACACTTTTTGCTAACCTTATGTACCTATCCATATACATATAAACAGCTATATAAATTATGCATCCATATATAATGGAGCTGATCCAAAGCCAAGTGCAGAGTGCGGACATATACAAATGCACACACACACACATGCTATACACACACACACACAAACGAGTACAAACACATAAACACAAATTACATTTTGGTGGCAGGCTCCTCCTCCTCCTCCTCCTCCTTCTCGTAATCGATTGCCATTTACAGCGATTATCTGTGGCTGCTGTATGTCTTGTAGACGCGCGGCACACGTGTCGACGATGTTGGCGACGAGGAGGTGGAGGAGGATGTGGTCGTGTCCCCACTGATGCCCGCCGCCAGCTCATCCTGATGATCCTGCGCTGTGGTCTCCAGATTAAGCGGCAAGCCATCATCCAGCTCGTCCGCATGCTCGTAGATGTAATCGCGCTTCTTGAAGTTGTCAATGATGCGCTTCGTGGACTTCATGTGAGACACAACAGCGGCCTCCAGCTAAAGCAACGAGCAGAGTTATAGTTAGAGGCACAAATGGAGGGACTCTCTACTCACGCTGGATGTCAGATTCATAAAGGTGTGATATTTCTCCAGCACACCGACAACCTCGCGGAAACTGTGACCGCGCAGCTGTCGCCGCACTATGGCCTCGTACAGCTCGTTGTCGGTGATTAGGTTGCCCACCAGAATGGCCGCGTAGCTGCCCTTGAGCGTGTGCTCCATGTGATGGCCAGCGCGTTGAAGCACTAAAATAAAAAGATTTACAAATGGGAAACCCACACAAGGCCAAAGGCAACTTACGATTGTTGACTGTCTCCTCCACTTCCTCCTGTTTCTTCTTGCCCGTCTCGTTGCTCTCCAGAAAGGCATCCGTGTTCTTCTCCACCAATCTGTGTGGAAATCAATCAAAGATAAATCTCAGTACTTGGGGGATCTCCCGCTGCAACTCACCTGGCCAGCTCCTCGCACTTGTAGAAGTACTCGATGAGCGCCTGGAGTGCACTGACTCTGCCCTGCACTGGCGGCGTCTCTGCCACATATTCGGCTGGTGCAAATGCCTCCATCAAATGGGTGCGATTGCGCGGCGTGTACATGCACAGATTGATCAGCAGCGTGAGCACCTGAAAGTGGAGAATAATCAGCACAAGTGCACGTCAAAGATTGGCCCAAAGACTCACCAAAATGCTCAGCTCAAAGACACAATTGTCCGGAATGTAATTGCTGGAGAGCAGCAGCAGCTGGAAGCTCGTCTCGATCACGTCTCCCCGCTTGCCCAGCAGATCGGCGCCCAGCGAGGGATGTGCCTCGTTGAAGGTGTGCGTCAGGCTGATCAGCACCTTCATCACATTGATGAGCAGCTCGCGCATGGCGACGCCCGGATGCTCCTTGCGACTGTTGCTGCCCGTGGCCAGCTCCGTGGTGGATGGATGCAAGACCAATTGGCGGCTGCAGAGGCGATACAGCAGGCAGAGCGTGTCCACGGCCCGGCCCTTCGAGAAGGTCAGCATGTAGCGCTGGTTCGCCTCATTGTGCTGCGTGACATTCTCGAGGACGCGCAGGCAGCGGGCCACCGTCTGCATGTTGTCCAGCAGGACGGGCACCCACGTGATCTGCCGCTCCATGTCCATGTCGCAGGCAATTATGGGACGACAGAAGTCCGATATGGTCTTGATGATGTGCTCGAGGCCGCCGAGCTTGCGCAGATCCTCCTTGAACCACTCCCCGGCCCGCTTGGAGGTGAGCGAGAGCAGCGTCTCCATGGCCAGGGTGCCCACCGTGATGGATTCGACATTCAAGTGTGTGCCCTTGCCCTGCGCCTTGATCTCCTCGCACAGCTCGCGCACCTTCTGCTTGTTGCGCTCGTAATTGGCACGCTGGTCGGAGGGGGCAGCTCCCGCCACGCCCACACCGTCCGCCTCCAGCAGATTGATCATCAGCTCCAGCGAATCGCGATCCAGGTCCATGTTGAGTCCCTCCTGCGACAGAATGTACATTATGGCCGAGGTGCACAGGCCCAGACTGAGATCCCTGTTGGCATCGGACAGGGCCTGAAAGACACAGAAGACACAGAAAGCAGGTTGGATTGTGGCCCATGGCATCCTCGGCAGTCCCCCCTCCCCCGGACACTCACCTTGAAGAACTTTGTGACCACGCCGTGGGCTCGGACGTGCATCCGGAACGCGGGCATCATGCACTTGGTGGCCAGCTGCAGGGCGGAGAGGCAGCGCGTCGCTGGCGGATTGTGCGGCTGCAGGGCGTCCAGTATGTACTCCACGTCATCGTCCATCTCCTGGTACTCGCCAATCTCCTGGATCTGATGGGCAGTCTTCACATTCCGCACCACCGTGTAGTACTCCTTGGTCTTGCGATCCACCCGCAGGGGACCGCCGCTGCCGCTGCCGCCGCCACTGCCACTGCCGCTGCCAGCGGCTCCCCCGCCGCTGCTGCTGCCGACTAGATTTCCCACACTGCTCAGACCCACAACCCGCTCCAGTCCGAGCTCCTCCACCTCCGCGGCATTCATGTCAAAGCCCTCGACCATGGTGTGGGCCACGGGCATGCTGACCTGCTTGGCCGTGCTGCGCGAGACCTTGCCCAGGCCCAGGCCCAGGCCGAGGCCCATGGCCGGACTGTCGTCGCGCAGCGTGGAGGAGGAGCAGCTGCCGCTGCTCGTGTTGTTGTTGGAGGAGGGACTGTCGCAGAAGTCGCCATCCGACTTGGTGGCCAGCAGGTGCATGTGCAGCATGTGATCCTTGCCACCCGTGGAGGAGACACCGCCGGGTGCCGACGCATTGCTGGCATCGCTGCCCGTGCCGCCGCCATTCGCCTCGAGTGCGGCGTCCCAGCTGTGCTTGTACAGATGCCGCTTGGCCACCGACGCCTGCTCCGCCTGGTCGGAGGGCACCAGGGCACGACTCTTGAAGATGCTGCCCTTCTTCTTCGAGATGACCAGCTTCACGGCGCCCCGTGGCTCGGTGTCTGCTGGCGGCGGTGGTGCTGGTGCTGGTGCTGGTGCTGCCACTGTCGAGGTGGCATTTCCCTCTGTTGCTGTTGCTGTTGCTGCTCCTGCTGCT